AAAGATTGTTTACGGATTGTGTGAGTGATGCATTGTTGAATATGTTGGTTAAAAATGTATTTTAATACTAAGAGTAGTTGTTCATTGTATGAGTAAATGATTAGATAATTAAAAATTACATTTATCAAAATATAACATCAAATAAATCAAAATAAAAAAAAACCGGAAAAACCGAGGCGTAAAACGGGTGATTAACTAGCAACAAGAACAATCAAAATAATTTGTTATTAACAACTTTTAAAACAAACTCACGCTTAGCGTGAGTATTCATCTAGTATATATATAAAAGTTAGCCAACTCTCTCCATATGAGTGTCACATCACCACACAAGAAAATGACATGTGTCATTTAACTTTATTTAAATTAAAAATCAGCAAAATTAATTGAGGGGAAATAAAAAGTCTCATATTGTGTTAAATCCTCCATGAATCTCATTCTTAAATGATTTCTTCAAAATAAAAATAAAAATATTAAAATTATTTTAATAAATCAATCACTACTTTTATTTTACTTTTCATATTTTTCTAATTTTTTAAAGTAATGGCCAATGGTCATCACTCGATAATGACTAAAAAATTAATTATGAGTGTTGTAGACTTGTAGTTTAGTTATTTGCTACCTAATAGTAATTTTACCCTGAATATTTTTTTGTTATTAGGTTATGGTTCATATCTTATCATATGACATTCTTTCTTTTCATTTTTGTGTCTTATGGTAAGTTCGTAACATTGACATGCAAATTTTTCAAGTAATGAGCTTTTGAGACGTTAGACATATCACGAAATTCAAGACAAATTTATTTCTTTTATATGGCTATATGCAATAAGCCAATAACATAAAATCTAAAAGTGTTACTTAAATAACTCTTTAATTTTGGCTTTCTTTTTCTTTTTTCATACGAAAACTCTTGAGATCAAAATATCCAATATTCTTGTTGTGTGTATTCATGATAATGAACAAATATTAGAATCTTAGATATAAAAATAATCAGATTATACATGAAAATGTATAAATTGATATTTAGAATCAAAAACGAATCTAACCATAAAAATTGTAAGTACATAAGATGAGTCTAATTTTATCAACTATACAGTAACAAACAAAAAAAATAAACATAAATTAGCGACAAAAACAATTAGCATATTTTTATATTAATAATTTTCAAAACAACCCCACGCTACGCGTGGGAATTCATCTAGTAAAAAAATAACGTAAGATAGATATCATATAGTCTCTAAAATTAAAATTTAGAATTATGCTTTTACATTGATATTAAATTTGATTTTTTTAAACCCAGACAACAATAACAACCAACCAACCAAAAATAGAACTTAAAAAAATATATATATATATATATATATATATATATATATATATATATATATATATATATATTTGAGATATAAAGAAGAGGATGAAAGATGAAAGAATGAGAGAATGAGTGAATGAGAGAATGAGAAAATGATTATTTATAGGGTGAGAATTTCAAAAATAAATAAATTATGGGAGTTACAATTTAATTTACTGTGTGTTAAATATTATCTTGATCCACAATTGTTTTAGTTTGTAGAAATTGGTTATTTTAGATGACCGTTTTGTATCTTTTACGCCTACATTGTGCCCCTAAACATATAAATTAAGCTCCCGGCCAAGGAATTGGTTAACTCAAGTATGTGTAGTTGGAAACATCTCTTATGAATTTGTGTGCAGGCGCCGACTGATATTACTTGATGTGTATGAATGAGTTTTTGGCGTTCCTAGGTGGAGGAAACTTTGCTCTTTCTGTAGACGAATATATCTCTTAAGGCACGATCTGGCTCAATCTCATTTTGAAGAAATTCCCACTTTTAATAGATTTGATGATACTCGAACGAAAGTTTCAAGAAGGTGAAAGCAACTGGCAACAAATGCACCTTCTGAAACCTTTGGGAACGAATGTTTGGGTAGCAGAACAGAGTTTGTGTTAAAGAATGTCGAGGTAATGCTGCATATATGTTCTGCGATGACAACTTTATTCGACATATTATGCAATCTTACTTGGATCTTGGACTAATCAATGTATGTTCATGTTGTTGAATCTTACTTGGATCTTGAACTACTTACCTTTGAGATCGAACCTTTTCTTTGTTGAGAATCATGATACATCAATAGATAGCAAAGCTTACCGTCCTTTTCCGATCAGTTGATTGTTTCAGAGTTATGCTTAGGCTTAAGACAGTTTTTTTCAGGCGTTAGTCTGTTGAAAGAGTGACAATAATATTACATGTTTGTAACTAATTCAGCTAAGACCTTATTGAACACTTGTTTGCTATATATATGATGTTAAGCGTATTGCACACAACTTTTCAGATGAGAATGGCTGCAGTTATGTGTTTTGAGTAACCGTCAAAATACATCTAGACAACAACAACAAGAGGAGAGTGAGTGTATACAAACAAAAGTAGAGAGAAAAATTTGATCTTTTTGAAACCAAAGCAAGGAAGCCAAGCCGCTCGCCATTCTTCTTAGCAAGCCTAATAATCCCTTGTCTCTATTTTATATCAGCTCGAATCGATTTGCAAAACTCTGTGATCACCTGAAAGAACAAAAACCCATTTTTCACAAAACTCATGGACTTAATTTGCTTTTATGACTAGTTCTAAAGAGAATGATTAAGAAAAACCTGAGAGTGCAAGGCAATGGCTTTTCCTCTGAGCTGATGAAAACTCTTCTTGCCTACTATGTTGCATGTGACAACAACTATAGGTGCAAATAAGCCTTTGCCTTCATTGACATTCTTTATCATTGGCACTGCTTTGATTGCTTTCCGAGAGACTCTTTCTTGTTGCGGTGGCGCAACCGTCTTGGAGAGCATGTTTGGTAATCTTCGCCGGAAATGGAACTTCCCCAACCTCCAGAAAGGAATTCCGGGTTCGAAGCCCGGTATTGGATGTTAATATTTAAGTAGGAAAGATTGATGAAACCATGATTTAAGATTGGAGAGAAGCATAAATGTATTGATGAAAGATGTGTATCACACAATGAGGAGGCACACACGTTTATATAGAGAACATAATCTAGGTCTGAGATGGGTTGTGCACAAAGACCAACAGCACCCTCATTCAGCCTTGTAACCCGAGTAACCCAAGTAACCTGTAACCCGAGTAACCCAAGTAACCTACATTTAACCCTGTAACCTGTAACCCGAGTAACCCGAGTAACCCAAGTGTTAAATGTCTTCTTGATTAACACTCCCCCTCAAGTTTATACTACAATACTCATTGTGTATAAACTTGGCACTCGCAAGAACAACCTCATTAAAAAGCTAAGCTTGTAAAACCACGTGGGACAAAACCAAGCCTAGGGAAAAAGAGTATTGTCCCAACGAGTTAGGGAGCCTTTCTCAAGGATGTGTGAGGTCTACAAGACCAAGTTTGCCATGGATAAATTGACAAACTTGGTTACTTGCTGCCTTGGTGAAGATATCGGCCAATTGGTCCGAACTCGTAGTGTAGCAAGGAAGGATTGTACCGTCTTCGATCTTCTCTCTTGTCTTGTGGCAGTCCGTCTCTATGTGCTTGGTCCTCTCGTGGAACACGGGGTTAGTAGCAATATGGATGGCTGCTTGGTTGTCGCAATGGAAGGTAATTGGTGTCTTTTGCTCGATCCCAAAGTCCTTTAGTAGAGCCTTCAGCCATGTCAACTCGTTTGTGAGCTTCTTCATAGCCCTATACTCCGCTTCAGCACTCGAACAGGACACCACCTTCTGTTTCTTTGTTTTCCAAGTTACAAGATTGCCACCAATGAAAGTGCAAAAGCCGGTTGTGGACTGCCTTGTGTTGCGATCTCCATTGTAGTCTGCATCACAATACCCAACAATTTCCGTGCTAAAGTTTCTTCCCATCCAAATGCCTTTGCCGGGACTTCCTTTGATATATCTCAGAATTCTCTCCACCAAACTCCAATGGTACACCGTAGGGGCTTGCATATGCTGAGCCACCTGATTCACGGCAAAAGAGAGATCAGGCCGAGTATATGTCAAATATATGAGCTTACCTACAAGTCTTCTATACTGTTCCGGGCAATGATATGGAGTATCATCCTTCTCCCCCTTTCGATTGACCTTGTATCCTTGCTCTAGTGGTGTATCCACTGGTTTAGCTCCAAGTTTCCCTGTAAGCTTTAGGAGATCGAGGGCGTATTTCCTTTATGAGAGAAATAGTCCCTCCTTGGATCTACACACCTCAATCCCTAAGAAATACTTCAACACACCCAAATCTTTAATATCAAAGGCTGAGTGTAAAGAAGACTTAATCGCTTGGATCCCTTCTTTGTTACTTCCCGAGATAATCATGTCATCAACATAGACCAATACCACTACTATGCCTTGATTATCTTGCTTAGTAAACAAAGTATGGTCAGAATGTGATCTCTTGAAGCCATTAGCCAATAAGGTAGAGCTTAACTTATGATACCAGGCTCTTGGAGACTGTTTTAGTCCATAGATAGCTTTCCGAAGCCTTAAGACCTTTCCCGGAGCCACTATGTCTTCTAAACCCGGAGGAGGTGTCATATAAACTTCTTCTTTCAACTCCCCCTGAAGGAAAGCATTCTTGACATCCATTTGCCACAATTCCCAATCCAAGTTCACAGCCAAAGAGAGAACAACTTTTACGGTGTGTTGCTTAGCTACCGGAGCAAAAGTTTCCCTATAATCATCTCCATATGTTTGAGTGAATCCTCTTGCAACCAATCTAGCCTTGTGTCTTTCAATTTCACCATTACTCTTATACTTTATGGTGAAAACCCACTTTGAGCTAACACATCTCTTCCCTTGTGGAAGTTCTTCTTCATCCCATGTATGATTCCGAATCATAGCTTGTACTTCATCATCCACAGCATTAGTCCATTCCTTTCTTTCCTTAGCTTCTTCATAGCTTTGTGGGATAAATTCCACATCTAGCTTACTAATGAAAGCTTTATGTTCCTCGGGAAGAAGGTCAATCGAATATGTTGCTTGGATTGGATGAGCCACGGCTTGGCAATTGAAGAGAACCTTAGGCTTCTTTGCCCTTTTACTTCGTCTTGGGTTTTGTAACGTGTAGACCGGTTCATTTGTTGTTTGAGGAATTGAGTTAGTCTCTTCTTCGCTTGATGATCTAATGACTTCATCTTCACTTAGTGGACCGATCTCTTCTTCACTAGATTCTTCCTCTACAACATTCTCATGGTTACCATCCGACGACTCTATTGGTGTTTCAACTTCACTTTCTTGAGTCCCACTTGTAACTTCGCCTGGTATCTCTTCCGTAGTGTCTTGAGGTATGTTAACATTACCCAAATGCTCAAGAATGTGTTTAAGACTCTTTGCTCTATCCGAAGTTGAGTTAGGTAGGTCCTTTACACTCTCCCAATTCTTTTCTCCGAAATAGGCCTTGTCTTCATGAATTTCACATCTCTAGATACATAGTATCTATTGTTGGTTGGATCAAAGCATTTGTAGCCTCTTTGAGTTGTGGAGTATCCGATGAACACGCACTTGGTACTCTTGGGCTCTAGCTTGTTCCTTAAGTCACCTGGAATGAATACAAAACAAACACAACCAAACACTCTCAAGTGCTCAATGTTAGGGTTTTGGTTATTCAATACTTGAAAAGGTGATTGATCATTAAGAACTCTTGTTGGAATTCTATTAATAAGATAACAAGCGGTCATAACCGCATCACCCCAAAACCTCTTAGGCATATGCTTATGAAATAGCATTGCTCGTGAGACCTCCATGAGGTGTCTATTCTTCCTTTCCGCAACACCATTTTGTTGAGGGTTGTATGGGCAGCTTGTTTGGTGTAAGATCCCACACTTTTCCAAATGGGCTTTGAGCTTGGTGCTCGTATATTCACCTCCATTATCTGTTCTAAGAATTTTGATCTTTGCATCAAAGTGATTAGTCACATACTTTTGGAAGTTTAGAAATGCATCATAAACTCTGTCCTTAGATGGAAGCAAAGTTACCCAAGTATACTTAGATTTCTCATCTATGAATGTCACAAAGTATTTATGATTATCTCTAGATGCACAAGGTGAGGTCCAAACATCCGAATGCACAAGATCAAAACACTTCTCATAAATAGTATTAGACTTAGGGAAAACCGTTTTGCAATGTTTACCTAAGATGCATGCTTCACAATGAGAACAATCATAAGATAAACCGGGTAATAACAAGTTCAAAGTTCTAGAGTGTGGATGGCCAAGTCTATCATGCCACAATACAACTGAAGTCTTAACATTATTTGCGGAAATAGAAGAGTTTAAAGAAGTGTCTTCAAGAACATAGAGATCATCCTTGGTGCCTCCTTGTCCAAACACAGTACCGCTCTCAATATCCTGCAACTTAACATCATTAGGACTAAAGATAGCAAGACAATTTAAGTCCTTAGTTGTTTTCTTGACCGAGAGCAAGTTAGAAGTGAACTTAGGCATATAGAAAGCACTAGACTTCTTGTTAAACAAGTTTATGCAACCTATTCCTTCTATTGGAACATTATGACCATTTGCAACCTTAACATTCCCTAGTGCCGGTTTAACATTCTCTAATAACCTAGGATTACTTATCATGTGATGAGAAGCTCCGGAGTCTAACACTAATGAATTTGAATCATGAGAGTTAGAGGTAAAGAGAGAGATACCGCCGGGATGCATTTTGGATGCTATGGATTGAAGAAGAGCTTCAAGATCGGCCTTGTTCATGGTGATGGTTTCTTGAGCTTGAGAGGTAGAAGTGGTACATCCCTTGTCTTGAGCAGTAGCTCGCATTGCTTTCTCTTGATGTCCATATTGCACAATGGCCCTCTCTTCATTATCAAGTAGTCCTCTATCACTTGTGTTTGCTTCATTAGCTCTCGGCTTGGAGTTCTTGAACTTTTCCGGCTTCAAGTGAGGGTGTAGGATCCAACACTTGTCTTTGAGGTGACCCTTCTTCTTGCAATGATCACAAAACCAAGTCTTTTTATCATCTTGTTTCACCATCCCGACCTTGTTTGCCGTTGGAAGACTCTCTCCTTTGCTACCAAATAGACCTTGCGAACCATACTCCCTTTGTATCTTTGGACACACTTGTTCTAAGGTAGGGATCTTGTCATCTCTCAAGATGTGTTGGATCACATCCGTGTAGCTTGAATTAAGAGTCAACATCAACCCAAAGACAAGATCTTGTTCCCTACGCTCCTTAAGTGTCTTTGCATCCGTAGTGAATGGCCTTACCATCTCTAATTCAGCAACAAGCGATCTATACTTCCCAAAGTGAGCATTAAAGTCGCTATCTTCTTGACTTAGTTCCCCTAGAGCCTTCTTAATCTCATAGATCCGAGTCAAATTTGATTCATTACCAAACACATTCGCGAGAGTATCCCAAAGCTCCTTGGATGTCTCACAATACGAATACCCTTCTAAGATAGAAGTTTCAAGGGAGCAATGCAAAGCACTAAGGACATTTAAGTCATCTTGCTTCCACGTGTCTTTGTCAATGCTTTCATCCAACTTCTTCAAGTCTTCAAAGGTTGATTCAATGTGCTTTGTGAGCCTCCTACTGCCGAGCACATTAGTAGTTGTCCTCTTCCACAAGAGGTAGTTGTTCCCGTTTAGAATCACGGAGAACTTCAACTTCAAATCCTTGTAAGTATCACTCATTGTACAAACCAATTTAATAACCAGTCCAACGTAACCAACGTAATCCCACAACGGGACTTCCAACAAAAATCTCCACCGTTCAAATCCTAGATAAACGGGTCAGGAACAACACTGCAAAATTTCAGCTCACACCGAGAAGAACTAACCGTTAGATCTTCCAAATACTCACGACAACTGCTGCAGAAAAATCTGGAAATTTCAGATACGACCAGCCACGATAAAACTCAGATTTCTCCTAAACCAACCGTTGAAACACGATCTCCACCGTTGAATCTCAAGACCACTGAGTCACGAAGCTACCCTCCAAAAATCAGCCAAATCGGAGCTCGTTTGAGTGTCCAAACGATTAACAAAATCAAAAGACGCTCGAGAGAGAAGAATAAGAGAAAAAGCAAGATTAGAAACTAGAACCACGCTCTGATACCATGTTAATATTTAAGTAGGAAAGATTGATGAAACCATGATTTAAGATTGGAGAGAAGCAGAAATGTATTGATGAAAGATGTGTATCACACAATGAGGAGGCACACACGTTTATATAGAGAACATAATCTAGGTCTGAGATGGGTTGTGACAAAGACCAACAGCACCCTCATTCAGCCTTGTAACCCGAGTAACCCAAGTAACCTGTAACCCGAGTAACCCAAGTAACCTACATTTAACCCTGTAACCTGTAACCCGAGTAACCCGAGTAACCCAAGTGTTAAATGTCTTCTTGATTAACATTGGAAAATATATTTTTGTTCATTTTATTCGTCTTAGTCTTATAAAAGGCAGTTTCGTTAATGTTGAATCTTGTAAGCCAAGAGAAGTTATCGTTGTATCTTATTAAAACGTTCTTATTTGATTAATGACTTCAATGTATTTACGACTTTTGTATTGATTTCTAGTTTGCATGGGATTGTTACGGTTTGATGCTCTGTCTAAATACTGTTGTTTCTTTTTTCGTTTGTGACTTTTCAAAGGGTTGAATTTTGAGTCAGTCCAACCGTTTTTGAAGCTTTTTTCGTTTGACTTCACTTACAACCTCTTAGAAAAAAAAAACCAAATAAGATTAGTTAAAAACTTGAAACCAAAAGCTACTATGGGAAACTGTCTAAAGAACAACCTCCTTCAGTTTCTCCCAAGCCTCTCATCATTCCTCCAACTTCAGGTATATCTCTCATTTCAAATGCACTTTCTACTTTTGTTTACATATATAAGAGAGTTTAACTTTGCAGCTTTGCTGAATTGAACAAGGAAACAATGAATTTGAGACAATACATGATAATGGCTTTACTCGAACATTTTATGAAGGCTACATCAATGAGACAAACTTTTCTCCCTGCCTCCCTACATAATTGGACTAGGTTAGTTATGATTGCCTTTAATAATTTAGGTCATGCTTAAGATCGGATTTCCAAAACTTATACAACGGCATATAATGTAAATTATATTAGTTTTTTAATCCAAAAATATCCTTTTATCATCTAGTAGATTTTTTTATAAGTGTCAAATTATTTATAAGTTATTGAAATAATATTAAAAAAAGAAAAGAAAAATTCAGGCCTAAAACCTATATCAAAATCTTAAGTTTGTAATGAAACCTATATATATATATATATATATATATATATATATAATACAAATTCATTGATTAACAAACAGTCCGCTGTAGCACATTGCTTAAACTTTGAAATCAAGTTACCCTCTAATTGGAATTCCGGGTTCGAATCCCGGCAGCGGAAAATCTTTTTTTTTTTAAACTATAAGAAAAACTTTACACAAATCTATATGTACTAGGATATGATCCGCGGACAAATAAATTTTTGTTGTGTTTTCTTATAACTTTGTGTTGTATATATTTGATTAAGAAACTTTTTGTTAATAGACTCGGCATCTTGAGTCTATTAATGTCTTTGGTCTATGTTGAGTTTTGTGTTTGAAATCTTCTATTCTTTAGTTCTTTGATAATTTTTAGTATTAATTCTTTGATTTGTTTGCTTGTATGATCAGTTCCAGTGCCTTACTTTGTGATGCTGGAAAGTCTTGATCAATAAAAGGTACATTGTTTTCCCCCTAAACATATAAATATGAAAAGGTATAAATATTATCTTGATTCACACTTGTCTTAGTTTGTAGAAATTGTGTTTTTTTAGATGACCGTTTTGTTTTTTTACGCCTACATTGTGCCCCTAAACATATAAATTAAGCTACCGTCGAAGGAATCGGTTAACTCAAGTATGTGTAGTTGGAAACATCTCTTATGAATTTGTGTGCAGGCGCCGACCGTTATTACTTGATGTATATGAATGAGTTTTTGGCGTTCGTAGGTGGAGGAAACTTCGCTCTTTGTGTAGACGAATATTTCTCTTAAGGCACAATCTGGCACAATCTCATTTTGAAGAAATTCCCACTTTTAATAGTTTTGATGATACTCGAACAGAAAGTTTCAACCTGAAGAAGGCCAAGGCAACTGGCAACAAGTGGACCTTCTGAAACCTTTGGGAACGAATGTGTAGCTAGCAGAACAGAGTTTGTGTTAAAGAATGTCGAGGGAAAGGGCAGCTGCATATATATCAAGTTTCCGCGATGAACTTTATACGACATATTATGCAATCTTACTTGGATCTTGAAGTAATCAGTGTAAGTTCATGTTGTTAAATCTACAGCTCGGGAGACCTTATTGAACATTTGTTATCAGACTCATGATGTTTTAAGTGTAGTATCAAAGTGGTACACACATGACACAACTTTCAGATGAGAATGGCAGCAGTTATGTGTGTTGAGTAACCCTCAAAAGGCAATGTAACAAAAATCAAGATTATAGGTTTGGACAAAATACATCTAGACAACAACAACAAGAGGAGAGTGAGTGTATACAGACAAAAGCAGAGAGAAAGATTTGTTCTTTTTAAGACCTAAGCAAGGAAACCAAGCCTCTCTCCATTCTTCTTAGCAAGCCTGATAAGCCCTTGTCTCTGTTTTGCATCTGCTCCAATCGATTTGCAAAACTCAGTGATCACCTGAAAGAACAATAACCCATTTCCACAAAACTCATGGACGTTGCTTCTTTAAACTAGTTCTCAAGAGAATGGATTAAGACAAACCTGAGAGTGTAGGGCAATGGCTTTTCCTCTAAGCTGATTAAACCTCTTCTTGCCAACTATGTTGCGTGTGACAACGACAAGTGGTGCAAATAAGCCTTTGCCTTCATTAACATTCTTCATCATAGGTACTGCTCTGATTGCTTTACGTGAGACTCTGGCTTGTTGCGGTGGCGCAACTGTCTTGGAGAGCATGGTTTGGTAATCTTCTCCGGAGATGGAACTTCCCCAACCTCCATAGAAGGAAGTTCTGAGCAAAGTTTGATTACATCCAGTTGCAGAAATCGAAGCAGCAGCCATAATCAATCAGCTTCTCTCGCTCTTTGATGTTAATGGTAGAGAGGAAGAGAAATTGAGTGTGTGTGGTTGGATTTTGAGTTTAGCATTTTGGTGTGGACAAGGTTTGGGTGTTGGTTTGGTTTGGATGGAGAAACCAGAGCCACAAATATGATTCTCGTCTTTAGGCTTTTTTTTTTTTTTTTTTTTTTTTTTTTTTTCATTTTTTTGACTTGATTTATTACGTTTCTCATGTTTCCGGGTGTGATCCTCTGTATCACGTTTTACTACATCAAACATTTCTCCACCGTCCGATCATTTATTTTTGTATTTTTAACTTTTCTTTCAATGGGAATCATATTGAAGTATTAACCTTATGAGTTATGATGATCTTTAGTTAATGACTGAACCAAGAGTTCAATTATTTTGTGAAAGAGATTACAAGAACTTGGTAGAATTAAGCAATGGTAAAAGCGTTGAATTCGGGGTATATGAATATGACTGGATATAAGCGATTCGACACTGTCGAGCTAAATTTGTGAAGATAGAAATTGTAAGGCATCAACGACTAGTGAATAGGCCGCCGGCCAATATTTTAGCAAAGGATTCGATTCCAGGAGGACACCAAGTGTGCACAAATCTAACTAAATCATTAGTCAATGACTAAACCAAGTGTCTTATGTAACGGGTGTAGCGACTACGAAAGAAATTAACCGTAGCATAAGCAAAGTAGCACCATGAATGGAAGAGCTTATCATGTTCATAACATAGCATGCAAGTTATATGCAAGTTTCAAAAGTTTTGTCCAATGTCATGAAAACTAGAGACATGCAGAGAAATAAACAGACTGTACATTGATAATCTGATGCATCCACACGTTCCAAGCGCATTAGTAGAAGATACCGAATGTGTTCTCGCCACTGTAACTCATGTATAGAAAGCCATCTTCGTCTTTGTGCTCTTCATAAATCGCAGACATTATGGCCGCTGCAATAAAAGGATAATACTACTATTATTAGCTCCACATTGAGAAAAAGATATGATTGCTTGAACTGGACAAAAAGATGATTAGGAAAAGCATTTGTATCTAACCAGTTGGTGGTAGAATGTTCTTGACAAAAATGAAGATAGCTTTCTCGGGACTGAGCTTGATCCGCTTCCGTACAACGTAAACAAACTGGCCAACAGTCAAATCAGCTGGGACCAAGTACCTGAAGTTTGTACAGTAAGTCAGCCAATTCGTCACCTCAAGAAGGCACAAAGAACATTTTTTATTCCTAAGCAATAAACCACTAAAACTAGAAACCTCTCCATATCTTTCAATAAAAACTTCTTTCTATTCAATTAACTATTAGAAGGGCTTGAAGCCAATCCAGTGACAACAAAGAGATTATATCCAACTCTTCTAGATACAAGCAGGTATGGCAATCCTCAAGAGAATCAAGAACTTACTTTTTCTTATCAATATCAGGGACATCACTCTTCTCGGCTCTTTCGACTATGACCTGCACAATTCAATACAGAATAAGGCAAAGCTATAATTTCCTACAAGAAGATAGCCAAAATTCATACCGGTATTCTGTCCGGATACTTCTCCCTGATACGAGCTGCTTCAGCTTGCCTCTTTTCTGTAACATACACAAAAAAAAAAACACGATCCATAAATTCCAACACATCAATGTATTTCAATCTCTAAAACAACGTAAACAATACAGAGTCGGTGACAATATCAAGAGAAACGAGTTATGATTCTCCTCCACTTGAACAGAGACTAATATAAAGCAGAAAAAAATCAGAACATGTTTCAATCAAAGATTATGTACACTACTACTCAAGCGACTGAAATAGCGATTCTACGCCCCGTGAACAACACAGACTCAGACCACAAAATCAACAGAGACAAGTGAAACTTAGTAACTTCAACATCAATATTCTTCTTCACTTGGAACAAAGATTATAATGTATTTGCATCATCAAAACAAAAGCTACACGAAAAACAAAACATGTTTCAATCAAAGATTATGCACACGACTCAAAGAAACTATACACAGACTCGGCGATCAAATCAAGTGAATCAAATCATCATCAACATATAATTTTGCGGCTTCTTAGAATTAGTACACGCAATCAAATTTGAAATCGTCGGAATTCAGAATCAAGGATCAATTTCATGCAAATTCAAAAGCAATTGAAATAGACAAAACCAGATTTTGAGAAATTTTTAAACCTACTCGCTAAAAAAAACCTACGATGAGAGAGAGATACAGAAGGATCATCAACAAGATTGATCGATTAGGGTTAAATCGAAAACGAACCGAGAGGATGTTCATGCTTGAAGGAGCTAATCGCCATGATTACGCTGCGAGAGAGAAACAGAGAAGAGAAGCAAAAAGGGTTTGTGTTAAACGACGAATTTGGGGTAATTAATGTATTAGTTGGAATGTTTTATAAAGGGTATGCTTGGCAAAAAATCTTTGTATAATTAATTACTTAACTTAAGAGTTAAGAGTTTAGGAAGTATTGAAATATAATTTTCCTTTTTAAAAAAATGATCATTTGTAGAAAAAAAGATATATAATTTTCTAAATTGTATAAAAATTTATAAAACATATATATTGAAATTAAAAAAAAAGTCTCACCTAAAACATGAACAATTTTTGAGTCTATAATGAGTTCACTTCCACTTTTTCTAACCAATCAGAATATACCACCTAATATAAAATAAAAATTAAACTCATTTAGTTGTAAAATCAAATCTCGAATCACTCTTTTTTAAAAACAGAAACAATCATTTAGCCACATTAAATTGTAAATTTTAATTCTAACCACTTTTTATATAAACTCAAACCGATATATAATCTCGCTAATTATAAAATCTAAACCCTAATCTTTTTTTTTAATAATTTTAAACCGATATGTAACTTCGTTTAATTATAAATATAAACTCTAAGCCTCCTTTATAAACTCAAACCGACATATAACTTCGTTTCGTTGTAAAATCTAAACCCGAACTCTTCTTTATAAACCCAAACCGACATTTAACCTCGTTTAATTGTAAAATTTAAATCATACTCCCCCTTATAACCCAAACCGATATATAACGTCATTTATAATTTTAACATTAAATCTTAATATATCACTTATAAACCCAAACCGACATATAAACTTTAACACCAATATATATAGTTATCTATACTATTAATTGGAAATCATTAGATATTAAATAACCTTATGAAGGCTAAAATATTACATAAGATACCATTAGTTTTTAGTGTTTTTAAATAAATTCATTAATGGTACAATAGTAATCACAAAAATAATATATTTAAATAAAATATAGTAAAATTCTTTTAAGTAATTATCAGTTTCCAAAAATTAAACTCACTTTCTCTCTCTTATTAATTATGGACGAAAATTTGAAATTAATTTCTAAAAAATTGTTAATCAATGAGAATTATAAAACTAAGATTTTATATCCAACTAAGATTTTATCTAAACCAATTCTAATAGACTATTCTATATCAATATATATATATATATATATATATATATATATATATATATATATCATTTTAATTCAAAATTAAAATCACTATCGTTTAAATAATATCAATGGCGGATTTTAAGATTCAATTTGAAATTTTGTAAGAAAATTAAATAAAAATATTTTAAGATTCAGTTTTGTTATAATATTTTCAAAAATTTTTAAATATAAAAAAAAATTTTATTTCATAATTTCTAAAAAAAAGATATTAGATATTAACAAATATTTATATTTACTATGAAATAAACTCATATAATAATAAATTTAAAGTAATTATCATTATGGTCTTCGTTTAGAGTAAGTTTCAGAAATATCTAAATAATAGATTGTACATATTAATTTTTTGTTTTATTTTTTCTTTTTCAAATGGATCTTCCTTAAATAAATCCATAATATATTGCACACAGTTAGATCAGAGGATACAAAACAGTGATTTTCGAAGGGGATTGCGAGGGACTGATAAAGATGATCACTCATTTAGTTCAAGTTATCTCAATTTTACGGCTTTGTCAAGATATCACTTTCTGGTAGAAGAAATTTCATCATGTACAATTTCAATTTACAAAGCGTTGTAACAATTCTGCAGCCCATCATTTAGCAAAGTTAGGTTGTTTAACTTTCTCTTTTTATTCGGAGAATGATAAACCACCTCCATGGCTAAGCCATCATTTGTATTTCTTTGACAATGATTAAGCAATAAATAATAATGTAAACTAATCATATAATTTGCATTCAAAACAAATTATGCAGCAATGGCAGATACCTTTCACAGATGTATCTCAAATTTTTATTTTTAGTCCAAAAATCGAATTAATTATTGATTAAACAATGAAAAAAGAATATGCAAAATTTAGCTTAAAAAAGAAACATTAATAAATTTGTTAAAATATATTTGTAACTTTAACAACATACATATTAATCCGCAACACTCACAATATATATTATATGATATTTAAAGGTAAACTAACAAGAATTTGGAACATGATTTTAATGGAATAAAATGAGAATAGGAATTACGAGACGGGATGGCAGAGAAACATTAATAAAAAAAAAAGCCCGCTTGTTTCATGAAATCTACAGTCTAAATTCTACAGCAAAAAATGTAAAGCTACATCCACAACCAGTCGGGGCCTAAGTTAAGCTCTTGTTCATCCCCAAAGTCAAAACCTAGATCTTCTTCTTCAAAGGTTTCTACAAACTGAGGTTGAGCTGCTTCTTCAGTTTGATGGTCAGAGTAAAAAATAACATCTCGCTCATCCTTTAAACCTAGATCCTCTTGAAGAGTTTTCCCGCCAAAATCGTAAACATGCGTTTTCCCGCCAAAAGCGTAAATCCGCGTTTTCCCGACAAAACCTTAAATCCGCGTTTTCCCGACAAAACCTTAAATCCGCGTTTTCCCGCCAAAACCGTAAATCCGCGTTTTCCCGCCAAAACCGTAAACTCGCATTTTCCCGCCAAAACCGTAATCCGCGTTTTCCCGCCAAAACCGTAAATCCACGTTTTCCCGACAAAACCGTAAATCCGCGTTTTCTGGCAAAACCGTAAACCCGCATTTTCCCGCCAAAACCGTAAACGTGTGTTTTACCGCCAAAACCGTAAACTCGCATTTTCCCGCCAAAACCGTAAATCCGCGTTTTCCCGCAAAAACAGTAAATCCGCATTTTCCCGCCAAAATCGCATAACCATGTTATAGAAGACGTGGTTTTACGTTTTGTTTTAAATATTTAAATCAAAAATTGAATTTAAGTAGAATATTAGTTTTACATATATTTAATATTTTGCTTTTTTTATTTTAGTTATTAAGATATTAACATTTTTAATAAAAATAACTAATATAAAATGAAACATAAATGGGTTTAAATGGGTACCCATTTATTTGTGTGAAACCCCATTTAATAAATGGGTTTAATTGGGGTAACCCATTTAACCCCATTTAACATTTTTCCCTAAATGGGTTTAAATGGGTTAATTTTTTTTGTACATACCCATTTAATAAATGGGGGTTCCATGCCCAAGTTAACATCACTACCCTCTTCTTTAAGCTCTCCTTTTTTTCAAGAATATAAACTATTCTCTTTCTGTATTCTATTCTAAATTATAGAACGATATTTATACATAAAACCAATGTTTTAGCATTTAGAAACCTTCTTGTTTTTTTTTTCCTTTTTTTTGGTTAAGTAGAATTTTTCCTTTTCATTATTAGCCTTTTCCTTTTTATTTTAAACCCAAAAATTTTCATATGTTTTTTTCAAACATTTGACATTTCTCTTCTTTACATATATATTGTTTTTTCCTTTTCATAAATATCTTAATATAGAAAATATTATAATTAAAAATGTTAACTAATATGATAGCTAAAAATGCTAATTAATGACATGTGCAACCACAATTGATCGTTTAAAATCCCACGTGGACGGCCACAGAAGCTTATAGCTTCGACTTTTATATAGTATAGATTTTCTAGGTAAATTTGCTAAGACTATTGAAAAAGCTTATCAAGAGTCAGTTGATGGTATAGTCTTGTGTTTAATAAGGTTTGCCAAAATAAGTGTTTACCTAGGTAAATCGTCTCTCTATTTTTCATATCCACGTCACTAACCGTGGCGACGACAAAGTGAGTAACTTTTTCAATGACGACAACGTCCACGCCTCCTTATGTAATTTTCTTCCTTTTTAGGGCAACCAAAGTAAAAACAATACAATAACAACACAAACTAGAGGGCGTTATTTCTAGGCATTAAGCAAAGCAAACTCGAGCAACGTATATACAGTAAAACCTCTATATATTGATACTCGATAAATTAATAAACATGATAAAATAATAATTTTTGTTGTTCCTGAGTCGAGGAAGTGTAAAAATTAACCAAATTCGATAAGATAATAAAATAATAATTTTTTTTGAAATTTTTATGTAAAAATATTATTTCAAATATATTATTAATTAATAATCATGTAAATTTTTGTATATATATATATATATATATATATATATATATATATATACTAAAGTTTTATGTAAGTTTCATTAAAATAACTAAAGTTTTATGTAAGTTTTCAAAATTTGAATACGCTTATTTTTGTTTTTGTTTTAATAGTAGAATAGGTTTCTCAAATACAATTGATGTCACTATTATGAATTTGTATATATGTATATCATTTGTATATGTGAATTCTATAATCATTGATACTCATTATAAAAAAAATTGCTTTCTCTTCTAAATATTAAATATTTAACTCTAAACATATAAAAATTATAACATCCAAAGTATTAATTATATTTAGATCAAATTTTTAAAATTCGTATTTAACAAAATGTTTTTAACAATTAAAAAAAAACTTTTTATAAATTAATATCACTATATCTTAATAAAATATTATGTTCTCAACATTATTAATTTATAGAAGTTTGACTGAAGTACATGAAATATATAAATAAAAAGATATTTGTTTGTTCGAGGCAAAGTAAAAATAAAAGTGAACAGGCGGGTCCGTATGTTTCATGAACAGAGCCACGGGCTTTTTTTTTTTGAGTTTATTTAGGTGGAGCACCTTAGCAGCCAAGACAAGTTAACTCATCAACCTCTGCTTTGATTTCTCCTATGAGTTCTTCTTTGTACTCTTCAAACGTGCCTCGGAAGAAAGTCACTGTCCCGGCTTCCACAACCCAAATTTCACTCTTCTCCTCGTCCTCACAGACACGGCTTATGAGTCTCGAGTCGTGGCTCACCAACACAACTCCTCCTTTGAACTCATCTAGTGCATCCGCCAAGGCATCTATCGTCTGCATGTCGAGGTGATTTGTTGGCTCGTCAAGAAGCAAAATGTGTGGCTTCGACATTGAGATTGAGGTTAACACAACCCTAGCCTTTTGTCCTCCAGACAATTTCGCAGTTGGAGTGGAATGGTTTTCACCTGTTAGCCCAAACTTGCCCAGTTTGGCACGCACCGCCTCTTGTTTGCTACATCCCTCTTGGTCAGGATACAGACGAAGAAGATACTCAACCGGTGTCTCCCACATTGATAACTGGTCAACAAAGTGCTGCGAGTACCTGCCGATTCTTAGCTTCTGGCTTCTTCTCACTTCACCCTCAGTCGGAACTAAATCTCCCGCAATAAGATTCAAAAGAGTGGACTTTCCAGCTCCGTTAGGCCCAACTATTGCTACTCGTGTCCCCATATCTATACCTAAATCCACATTTGAGAGCCTGAAATCTGACTTGTTTGGGTAGCAGAAGCTAACCTCAATCAACTGCAGAAGAGGACGAGGGAGCTCGGTTGGTTCTGGAAAATCGAGCACCACCTTATAATCACTCCACTTCCTTGGAGCTTCAGGTGCTGGGCCCTCGTCATCCATCGTCTTACCCTTTGCCTTACGCTTGGATGCTTCTTTCGCTGCAGCAAGCTTGGCCCAGGCCTTTACCTTCTCCTGTTCTACCCTGTTTCCAGACCTCTTAGCTGCTTCCATCCGTTTCTGGAAAATCTCAGACTTTTTGTTCATCTCCTTACGTCGCTGAAGATATCCGGTTTCGTAAGCATCGTAATTACCACGATACAAGTGGAGACTCTTGTCGTGCAAATGTATTATATCCGTGCAGACAGCGTTGAGGAAGTCCACTCCATGTGAAACAACAACCAGCGTATTCTTCCACCGGCATAGATACTCCTCTAACCATAAAACAGCTCTCAGGTCGAGATGGTTGGTGGGTTCATCTAACAACAAAAGGGTAGGTCGCACAAAGAGAGCTCTAGCTAATGATATTCGCATCCTCCAGCCACCACTGAGCAACTTAGTTTCACCCGCTATCATATCTTCTGTGAAACCTAAACCCGCAAGAATTTTGGAAGCCTGCGCTTCAGCAGCATCTGACCCCAACATATGTAGCCTCTCATACAATTCAGCAAGCTTTTCCCCATCAGCATCATCGTTCTCCAGAGCTGCAGCTTCTTCCCTTAGCTTAAACAGCTCTTCATTGGCAGAGACAACTGTTTCCAGAGCACTCTTTCCATCACCGACCACCTCTTGCTCAACAAGAAGAATGTCAATATTCTTGGGAACTGGAATCTTCCTCCATGCCAAAAGCTTGAGCAGTGTAGACTTACCCTTACCATTTGGGCCCACCAATCCATACCTTTTCCCATGTGATATCATGAGAGAGGCATTCGTGAGAAGCTCTTTCCCTCGAACAGAGACAGAAAACGAACTGATCTTAATATCTTTGACATTCGCATCTCCTGTTTCTTCTCCATCAAGCACCGATGTCTTGCTTCCCATAACAACCGTGAATGCATCATGGTCGTCCTTCAAGGCCTCCTTCTTTCCTATCTCTGCAGCCAGGAGAGCGGAGAATTGATTACCCTTTGCCTTCATTTGTGTCTTAGGAGTCACAGAGAAATCGAGTTTCTTTTCTTTGCCCTTCTGATTGCTCATTGCAAGCATCTGTCTTTGTTTCTCAGCAAAAACGCCTTGGTCTTCGTCTTCTTGATCATGATTAGGAGGATAATCTATGTCATCAGTGTAGGACGAAACTTTTAGAGCAGTCTTGGCTCTGGACGATGAGCCCTTATTGATCTTGGGTTTATCATCTTTCTTATCCATGCTTGCAAGAATGGCTAGGACTGAAATTTTCTCCTTCTTCGAATCTTTAAAAGTATATTTCCCATTCCTGATAGCAACAATCTCGTCTGACTTCTTCTTACCCATTTAGCACTGTATCTGACATATAAAATTTACAAGTCACGGTTAAAAACAAACACAAAATAAATAAATAAATAAAAAAGCCCCATGAGTTATTATTAATTAAAACCATACAAACTTTGCATATCCATCAACCAGGATTCATAATCAAGCAGACATAAATCATATTATCTTGCAATCCAATTCGATAATTTGAACCGAATTAGGGTTTCTACTTCAGCCACACCAACTCAATCCAATTGCTGGGCTTCTTCGTTTACCTAAATCATTCACTATTCAATATTCGGATTCTGAATCTTATAACTATAACATCCCAACAGCAGAGAGAGAGAGAGAGAGAGAGAGAGAGAGAGAGAGAGAGAGAGAGAGAGAGAGAAGATTGATCTCTTGATTGAACCCTAACATCTGGAATCGATAATAAGTTAAAAAGAAGAAGACGAAGATGATGTATAATGGGTTTGTAACTAAAGGCTATTGTTGGGCCCTGTTGTAGTTAAGCCAAAATCTGTTTTATGTCGATAAACTAAACCACTTTCCAAAGGTCTAAGGTATGCATTCCTTGGAACAAACTCTACCTATCCTGTGATCATTAATGTCGAATTGAACAATGATGAGGTTCACTTACTATTGAATGAACTTAGAAAGTATAGGAGAGCAATTGGTTATTCTCTATCTTATATTAAAGGGATCTCACCTAGTTTGTATACGCATAAGATCCATCTTGAAAATGAATCTTACTCTAGCATTGAACCTCAAAGGAGATTGAATCCTAATCTAAAAGAAGTTGTAAAGAAGGAGATACTTAAACTATTAGAAGTAGGTGTATTCTACCCTATTTCCGGTAGCACTTTGGTATATCCTGTTCACTGTGTCCCTAAGAAAGGAGGTATGACGGTTATTAAGAATGATAAATATGAGCTCATACCTACGAGAACTATAACCGGTCATAGAATGTGCATTGATTATAGAAAGTTGAATCCTGTATCTAGGAAAGATCATTTTCCACTTCCATTTATTGACCAAATGCTAAAAAGGTTAGATAATCACCCTTACTACTGCTTTTTAGATGGTTATAGTGGATTTTTTCAGATACCTATTCATCCTAATGACCAAGAGAAAACCACATTTACTTGCCCTTATGGAACTTTTGCTTATAGAAGAATGCCGTTCGGATTGTGTAATGCACTTGCTACGTTTCAAAGGTGTATGACTTCAATATTCTCGGATTTAATTGAGGAGACGGTCGAAGTCTTTATGGACGATTTCTCTGTGGTTGGCTTCTCCTTCTCCTCTTGTTTGTTAAATCCATGCAGGGTTCTAGCAAGGTGTGAGGAGACCAATCTAGTGCTGATCTGGGAGAAGTGTCACTTCATGGTCAGAGAGGGTATAATACTGGGCCATAAGATCTTAGAGAGGGGAATTGAGGTTGATAAGGCAAAGATAGACATTATGGTGTAGTTGCAGCCTCCGAAAACCGTCTAGGATATCAGAAGCTTTTTGGGCCATGCCGGTTTCTGCAAGGAAGCTGAGTTTGTGTTTAATGAAGAGTGTATGAGAGCCTTCTAGCTGATTAAAGAACCTCTATTACCTGCTCCAATCGTCCAAGCACCAAACTGGGATCAGCCTTTTGAAATCATGTGTAATGCTTCGGATTATGTAGTTGAAGCTGTTTTGGATCTGAAGATAGATAAGAAGATGCATGTCATCTACTATGCAAGCAGGACATTAGATGATGCTCAGGGAAGATATTCTACAACAGAGAAAGAGTTGCTGGATGTGTTCTTCGCGTTTGAGAAGTTTAGAAGCTACCTAGTGGGTTCCAAGGTGATAGTATACACCGATCATGCAACATTGAGGCACATCTATGCCAAGATAGACATCAAGCCTAGACTGTTGAAATGAATTTTGTTGCTTCAGAAGTTTGATATGGAGATTGTTGATAAGAAAGATATAGAGAACTGTTGGGGTCGGATCCCACACATTCTCGGTAGGATCCACTTGGATCTGTCCACGTCATTATTACACAACAATCCTCTCGGAATTCAAGATATTTTATTATAAGTATTGAGCTTAACCAGTCGGGAGTTCGATTCATTCTAGTAGAAGAGCTCGATCTTTGCCAGTATGGAGTTCGCTCTTATTCGACAGACAGTTCGCATAGAGAAAGGCCGAAGCGAGGAGAATATTGTTCGAGGCTCGCGGCAGCGTCAAAACGCGGGAGTTCGGAGTTAGCAAGAAAGAGTTCGGAAGATCCATGCGAAGCCCAAGATAGTTCAAATTCAAGCCGTTTCGGTCAAATTGTAACTTACATGATTAATGCGGATCAATGCGATTATGAGCAGTAAATGACCACATTAATCATGTTTTCTCTATAAAAACAGCCTCAAACGCATGTGTTTGGGGAGAAGCAAATCTTTTTACTCACTATTGCTAAGCAATACAACATACTTTTCTCTCTTACAATTTCGCAAGGCTTTGCATACTTCGTTCTTATCAAATTTCTTTACTTTATTATTTTCTTGGTTAATTTCTCTTTCGAATTCTCATATTCATTCTTTGATTTTAAGAGTTTTTCTCCACTGAAATATTTAAAGATAATCGAGTGTAAATCCTACATCCACATTTTGGCGCCGTCTGTGGGGAATTACCACAAAACTCTTTAATCTCAAAATCCTTCTTTCCCAATCAAGAAACTATGGCTGAGCAGCAAGCTTTGAGCGATGCAATTACCTTGCTTAATCAGACAACCACTAATCTGACCACTCAGATTGGTACACTCATTGATGCCAACACCACTTTTAGTGAAAGGTTGAACTCAATCGAGCAAACCTTGACGAGTGTTCAAACCACCTAGACAAATTTGTCAAACGCGCAAAACGTTGTTTCAAGCCGTTTAGATACTTTGCCTTCTGTGCAGGCAGCAGCGCATCAGCGTAGGCTATTCGTAACTCTCGCACAAAACAGGTCCGAGAATACTCAAACTCCTCCAACAAGCCAGCCAGCTAGTACTAGCGATCAGGCAGCCGTAGGGGATACTAACCCAACCGGGGAAGGAATTCCCCAGGTTCAGGAAAATCCTCCTATTGACGACGGATTCCTTATGGAAGATCCCGATGTCACCTTCTCAGATGATTTCATCAAAGTTTGGCAAGAGCTTGATGAAATGAAGTCAAAATTTCATCAAGCGACCAGTTCGGCGCCTGAGATCGATCGAGTAATCGAAGAAGCTCGTCGAACACCGTTCACCTCGAGAATCTCGAACCTTCGGATCAAGGATTCTCGAAAGGTTAAGTTACCAACTTATGATGGTAAAGGAGATCCTAAAAATCACCTCGCTGCTTTTCAGATCGCTGCAGGCAGAATTGATCTGGAACCAGACGAGGAAGATGCCGGATATTGCAAACTATTCTCCGAGAATTTATCCGGATCGGCCCTGCTATGGTTCACTCAGTTGGAGCCTGGAACTATTGATAGTTTTAAGGAATTGTCCTCTCCATTCCTAAAACAATATTCCATGTTCATGGAAAAGACAACTTCTGATGCAGATCTTTGGAATCTAACCCAATGTCCGAATGAACCACTTCGCAAATATATCACTAAATTCAAAGAAGTGATAGCCAAAATCCCTGGGGTATCGCACACTGTTGCCAAGGAATGGACTCTGGCATGAATCCCGATTTCGGAACTCTGGCACTCCACAGATTCCGAAGCTTCTAATCCTCCTGAAAAGAAACATAAGCCCAATAGGCCCGGAACTCCAAACACTCCTAAGAAAAGGATTGATGTTATAATGGGAGGATCCAAATTGTGCCGAGATTCGGTCAGATCAATCAAAAGGCACAAGAAATCAGCAGCAATCTAAACCGCTATGGGTTTTCAGTCAAATGAAAAAACACCTTCTATCTCTTTTGACAATTCGGACACTCAAGGATTAACAGGACCTCATGACGATGCTCTTGTGATAACTTTAGATGTTGCGAACTTCGAAGTGACAAGGTGCCTAATTGATACTGGAAGCTCGGTAGATCTCTGTGGAAGTCGAAACTAACACAATCGAGATTTGTCTAGGGTTTTAATTTAGGGATACGATTTGCGAGAATTCTCAAAGAACGACAGAATCAATTGATACCAAAGATGGTGTTCTTGATATTATTAAGAAAAAGATGACTTTGATCGTACAAGAGTTTGATCGTAAAAGAAAAAGGTGTTTGTGCTGTGAGAGCTTTGCGTAGTGTAAATTCTAGAGCGATATTGCTTTTCTTTCCTGTGAGAGTCTTGAGTCTCCTTATATAGGGGTGATAAACCGCCTCTCCAGCGATATTCTCGGAAGATTTCCATTTATCTTGAAGTCGGCTTAGAATATCGCAGATAAGGATACTTTCCTTATTCTTCGGAGCATCCGGAAGTTTTCCTGATTTGATTCGATCCTTCGAGATTCTTCTTTATCATTTCCGAGTATTTCAGAAATGATCCTTCTTTTTCGGAAATGCTGTTAAGATACTTGAAAGGTATTTATTCACTAAGTCTTTGCTTCGGGTGATGATGAAGACTTCCTCCTCGGGTGACTGAGAACTTCACCTCGGGGTGACTGATGACTTTGCCTCGGGTAGCTTGGAGGCTGCCTGGTGACGACTGGTGTGTTTGGCTCGGGGCAGGATGACGGTGTGATACACAACCTGACGACTAGGCTCGGGTACCCCGAGGTGACTGGGCTCGGGTACCCTGAGATGACTGGTTCGGGTACCCCCGAGGTGATGGACTCGGGTACCCCAGGGCGACTGGGCTCGGGTACTCCGAGGTGATTGGGCTCGGGTACCCCGAAGTGACTGGGCTCGGGTACCCGAGCTTACTGGCAGGGTACCCGAGCTGACTAGCAGGATAACCCGAGGTGTTCAAGTTTGGCTCGGTCTCAAAGGATGGATGAAATCCGACCCCAACAGTTAGCCCCCCAGCTCGTTGACTTGGGGAGCAAGTGTGACGAGCTTCATGAATGAGTCGACCGAGCC